TGGAAGCCCCCCGTCTCTCTTCCACGTGAGGCAGGGCTGGTCCCCAAGCTGACAAAGTACCCTGGTTCTACGTGCTTCCCTGGTCTCTGTGGCATTTCCAGAAGCTGGAGGTGGGCATGGAGGAGTGGGCAAGAGGAGACAGTTTGTTCTTAAATAAGATCTCTTCCCCTCCCTTCCTGGCTCAAGCGAAGCCCTTTATGAGTAAGAAGAGATGGAAGGGGGCCAACCAAAAGCAGCAAGATCCGCTCAGTCATTCCACACCCAGTCCTCCGAACCCCAAATCCTCCAAGGCTGAGGACAGAGGCAGGAGAGGCATGAGGATCCGGACACAGGGTCAGACCAAATCTGGGGTGAAGCAACCCTTCCACTGCCGGGCTGTGTGACTTGGACAGACAGCTTAACCTCACTTAAGCATCAGCTGCCTCATCTATAAGTGGGGGAAATAATTCCTACCTCCCAGATTTGCTCCAAAAACTGAGTTGAGGTAAGGTAAGCAAGAGGGTAGCAGAGCACCCAACCCACAGTGGAACCTGAATACACACCAGTGTCCCTGTGGACACACTGGCCAATGCTCTGCAGTGTCACGTTCAAGAGGACACACACACACTGCCCTAAATAATGGGCGACCCATGTCAGCAGTCAGAGCTGGAGACCGATGTGCGCTGGGCTTGGATAAGGTTGGGGCTGGGACTCTGGTTCTCTCACTCTGGGTTTTATCTCCATGGCACCCGCTCCGGCACAACCCTCCACATTCAGAAGTTCGAATAGAACTAGATAGATTTCAGCTTCTCATATCTTAGCCCAAACCTCAGCCCAAGAAGGCAGCACCTTTCTGCTTCATAGAAGGGAGGCAGAGCTGCGGGAACGTGCCCATTTGCCATAGCCTCCTGGGGAGGTCCGTTCCCCGCTGCCAGCAGCTCATTGGCACGAGAATTGTTTCACAACATAATAACCTGTACAGTACAGCACACAGAAGAACCTGCACAGAACTTTACTCTACTGAATTATCCTCCATAACAAGCAGGCCAGGTTGGGATTGCACCCAACGGTAATTACCAAAAAGCCAAAAGCAGTTCATTAAAGGCATTTTCACCCACAAAAGGAGAGAGGTGATTTTGTCATTGTTATTACTATTAATATTTCATGACCCCAAAGGGCACTGGCCTAGGTTTTCAGTTTCAACGGCACTGATGCTCCCTACTACACTGATGCTACTACATTATTTGTTATTTATTAGGTCCACAGTTTTCCCCTCAGTACATCATGGGAAGGAAGTGCTCCATCTATTTTCTTCACTGTTGTTTCCCAATCGTCTGGAATAGTACTTGGCAGATAGTAGGTTCTCAATAAATATTGTTCCATGCACACTATAGAGTAACTTTCTTGTGAAGAGCAACCAAAAGTGATGCCAAGATATGGCTAATGATACAGCTTATTAGAAATGCAGTTGAGCTCAGAATGTAGCTTAGTGGTAGACAGCTTGCCTAGCATGTGTGAGGTCCTGGGTTCAATCTCCAGTACCCAAAAAGAGGAAGGGA